ATAGAGACATTACCACATAATATAGTTTCACTTTTGCATATTTAGTAAAACCATGGCAGTAATCCAATTTACATACTACAAGTTTTATATTTGCACATTTCAGTATTACATTGCAATTGTCTTCTACAACCAAGTCAAGATATAATAATGGCAATTAACAAGAAAAACAATCATTAAAAAAGTTCATACTCAGAGGTTCTCAGACTGAAATAACAGCAATTAGAGAACAATAAGTTTTGCAGTGGCTTATTAAGCGTCAATCTTTGGACTTCCTAGGGCCTTTGAATATTGAAATGAGAAACTGATAAAGGAATACTGCATAGCTCTTGGGTGTGGAACTCAATGATTTCTACATAATACAAGACAACAGCATAACATTCAAGGCCAAAGAGTGAAGGCTCACCCAAAGAACTGAGAATCAGTTTGTGATAGACTCTGGAAGGAATGCACATTCCAGTAAACTAATGTGAAGTATAAGAGATTTTCCCTGTCTTATAAGATCTAAAAAGCTGCGTTAGTATGAAACCGAGAAATCCATCATCATTTTATAAGTTTAAAATTGGATAAGAGACAGTGTATGAGTTTCCTACTGCTGCTATAACAAATTATAGTGCCTTCAAGCAACACAAACGTAACTTACAATTCTGGAGGTGAGAAGTCTGAAATGGGTCTCATGGGCCTAAAATCAAGAGGTCAGCAGTGCTGTTCCTTCTAGAGCAGCTGTTCTCAACCTGTGGGTCGCGACCCCTTTGGCGGTCGAACGACCCTTTCACAGGGGTCGCCTAAGACCATCCTGCATATCAGATATTTACATTACGATTCATAACAGTAGCAACATTACAGTTATGAAGTAGCAACGAAAATAATTTTATGGTTGGGTCACAACATGAGGAACTGTATTTAAAGGGCCAGAAGGTTGGGAACCACTGCTCTAGAGGTTTTATGGGAAGATTCATTCCCTGGCCTTTTCCAGATTCTAGAAGCTGAGTGCATTCTTTGTCTCCATTTTCCAAGGCAGCACTGGAAAATCAACTTCTTCTTCCATGGTTTCTCTTTAATACTGATTCTCCTGCCTTCCTCTTTCATTTATAAGGACTCTTGTGATTATCCTGGGCCCAAACAATCCAGAATAACTTCCCATTTTAAAGTCCTTAATCAGTTCTGCAAAGATCCTTTTGCCTTTAACACACATAATCACACGCTGTGGAGATCAGGGTACAGATGCTTTGGGGGGTCATCACTCTGCCTCCTGCAGACAGCACAGTGTATAATTTGCACACATTCTGTAATCCATCTGAAAAGTAGCTACTAGAATACAGCATTTATTTATCTATGAAACTGCATTTAGTGTAGTTTCTGAAACAAATACAGTCTATAAGATCCACTTGGAATTAAACTGATCTGAGTAACCTAGGGCCTGGAAAGGAGACACAAGAGAAAGCAACTGATAAAACTGGCAGGCATGTACAGGGAATTAGATGCAGGCTGCAGGCTGCAGGCAAAGACAGGTGAAGCGAACTATATATGCATGACACTCTAATTCTGGATTAATTTTGTTGCATCCCATAGTTCAATTATCTTTTCTTAATAATAATGTAACTGCGTAAAAACACATTTTTTATTATTTATGATTGATGAATTTTTATGATTAGAAATTATAGATACAAACACCCAACACACTGCTTGGCACATTGAAGAACAAAATAGTGTCAAAATTTAAATTCTAGGTTCCAGAGTCTGATTCTGCCACTTACTACACCTGTGTGGTCTTTGACAAGTCACTTAGAATTTCTGTGGCTGTCCTCAGAAATTAAAAACAGGGGTAATATATAGCTCCTGCCCACAGGGTCACTCTAAAATAGAATATGTAAGTGCAAAGACATGCTGGGACACTGTTAGTGCTCAATAAAATATTAAGTAGCTGTTATTAGGTAAACTCAGTCGGTAGCCTTGGGCATCCAGAGAGGAGATGTTAGTGTAAGGCTGTAAATTCTTAGATATTTATGCCAGAGAACTGGTATCATCAGACTGAGACAAAAAAGTGAAGAATTTTGAGAAAAACTGTCACAACTGGATAATTAAGTTTCAGCACAAATCTTATGCAAAATTCCAAAGCTGCTCCAATAATATTTTGAAAAAATGTAAGATGAAATAGTGCATCATTGTAAAAACGTGATTCCTCTGTGAAGGGGTTCTAGTGGGAAAGCAAACAAAAAACAAAGAAACAAAACACCTCCCACAGAGACCCCACGTATGGCATGCACCATGCTCCATGTTGGCCAAAGTTATTAAGAGAGGTAAGACCAAAGACAAATCACTTCTAGTGCCAACGTTTAGAAAGTCATTCCTTTTCTTTAGAAAACTGACTGCGCTATATTAGCCCTTGCCTGGTTTTAAGTAAATGCCATGTATCCTGTAATTTTAGTCTTTACAGAAGTGTGCTGTATGGTTTTCTGTATACAAACTAAATGGCCTCAGCTTACTCTGCTCTCTAACTCTAAGTTTCTGTTTTTCCTGCTTCATCCTTCTCAGCTAAGCTATCTCCTAATTAGAATTTCTCACCTGAAGTGAGTCTTTCCTAGGAGTTGAGATGTGTGGACTTTGGCACAAGGATTATGTACATCCACCATGGCTCATCGGGCTTCTTTTCTGTCTATATTCTCAATACAAGAAAGTATTAGATGGCCACTTTGAAAATAGGTGAGTTATAATTTTACCTAAGCTCAATATGTCCCAAAGGATCTTGGGTGAATTTCACATGTCACTAAACATTCTGAAGCATCACTTATAAATACTTCTTAATCTAAATTGACAAAAAAAAAGTCAGGAAAGATGGAGTCTGGCAGAACCTGCTTCCCATACCAGACAACTATCACGGAAGAGAGTTGTGTGCAACTACTTTAAGAAAAATCTTCACCAAGTTCTTTATAAGACTTTCCTCCCCATGTTTTCTCTACTTTGAAACATATTCAAATCTCAGGCATTAAGTTGAATATTTATCAAAAGCCGAAAATAAGTCTATGAGAAAAATCTTAAGACTGAAGAGAGGATATCAGGAAAAAAAATTAGTGATACTCTCTTTTTCACTTATCATAAAAAAGGAAGAAGTAGGAATACAGTATTTTCTGACAAAATCAAACGTATAAATTCCCATCAACTCTGCAGAACAACACAGGTTAGGGTTCATGTAGAAGAGAAAAGCGTATTATAGGATTCACTAAGTCTGAACCCAAACAGCACTAATCCTTTGCTAGGATTTCAACTGATTATCTCTATTTTTCACCTTATTTAGTAGTGATGGTGAAGTCCCTTAAAACAGAGATTACATACAAACATGCTGTTTCTGTGTCTAGTAAACGGATTGTGCACACGGCCAAGACAGTTAAAATGAATTCTCTAAAAGGAAGAGCTCTATAGGACAAACTATGTCCCTGGGCACTGTTCACAAAAACATCCTCCTGTAATGAGGTCTTGTATGAGACTGGGGTAAGGCATCTTTTCTTCTGGCTCTTCTTAAACTTGCCACTTTCCAGCTCTCCATTCTAGTACACTGGACTTCAGTGAAATTGGAGACAAGAAGACCTTCTTCATTAACAACCCAAATGCCTAGAATTTTTCCAAGGAAGAAGATGGCTATAGAGAAGAAGCTGAAAGCGAAACAGTGAAATGCAGAATGAAAGTCCTCCTTTAAAGTTATGAGCATAAATAATGCAGTATTACGTACTGAGACCCCACAACAAACAAAAAGTGTGCACTGAAACCATGTACAGCAGGAGTCAACTGCAGAGAGTAAAGCTTTCTTTTTCACTCATTAATTTCACTAAGTGTTCTTTGAGAATCAAGTTTGAGTAGGATATTGTACCAGATATCATTAATACAAGGAACACACAAAAATAAAAAATCTCCTAGTTCATGTCCTCCAGGAGCTTACAATCTACTTAGGGAGATAAATCCTGTATGAAGTCACTAATTACAATGCAAGGCAAACCAGGATTGAGTCCCAACAGGAAATAGGAAAAATAAGTGGGCAGAATGTCTGTGAAGACTAATTAAATGTGAAAAGTCCAAAAAAGATTTTAGGGGGGGAAAAAGTAAATATTACCTAAGTTCAATAAATCACTTATTTACATTCCAGTTGGTCAAAACACACACACACACACACACACACACACCCCTACCTGAGATTGCAATAAACAATGCAGAGAAACATGTTCACAGACATAAATTGGCCAGGTGCACACAGGATGCACAGCAGAGGGACTCTGAAGCAAGGCTCTCTCAGGGAGGGCTGCAGTTCAATTCTGAAGGACACATTAGCCATTGGTAAGAGGAGCCCAGCACAGAAGTAGTGATAAACAATGCCGCAACATCAATAATCCAGTTTATTGAAACCGAATAGTTTAGTTTATACCTTTTTTCGGTTTAGTGTCAGAAGAAAAATCCCATTAAAACAAGATTTGCAATGAAATTATTCCCAAATAGATGGCAAAACATGCTCAAACTTTTTTTTGACTATTCAATATAGTCTTTTCCTTTAGCAATAAAAACAAAACTATCAGGAAAGATAGTTATGTGCAACTACTTTAAGAAAAGTCTTCACTGTAGTTCTTTATGACTTTCCTCCCCATTGTATTCTCTATTTTGAAACATGTTCAAATCTCAGGCATTAAGTTGAATATTCAGCAAAGGCCAAGAATAAACTCAAGAGACAACAATGACCGTGAGAACCCCAACAGCCTCAGAGCCTGACACTAATTTACGGAGACGTATCAGGAACTCTTGGGAATGGAGTGTCTGCTAATTAGGCCACCATGAACAGACTCTCGAACCTTGTCAAAGTTTTCCCAAACATCTCATGGAGAACTTTGATTTATGGGCCGCCCAGGTAAAAACCTGAACAGATGGTATGTTTTAATAATAACTGACACACGAGTTTGCTAAGGATCTCACCCTCTGGAAAACACACAGCTCTATAGAGGAACACTTTTAGAGTCATCTACCTTATCTTTGTCTTCCACGACATCGGCCAAGATATCGTCTGGATCCAGGATTCCTCCGTCTGTGTATTCTAAGTGATGAATCTTCACCCAGTAGCCAGGATCCTGTAGTAGAACCATCAACAAGTTTCATGACTCAAACTTTTCAAAAAGGTAAACTACATTTTAATTTTAAAAGAAATAAGCCGGCTCATTAAAAATATGCTCTAGTGATAATCAATATTTTTAAACACCAAAGTCAAAAGTTATCTATTTACTTGGATAAATATTTAGCATTTTTATTCTAGTTCATATAAATCAGTAAACCTAAGTATATATATTCCATCAATTATCCTGGAAGGTAAATTGTAATAAAACAACAACAACACTTAGCTATTTAAAAAGCATATTCAAGGAGTTTTTTATAACCTACAATTTAGGTAATCCCAGGAACACTCTGGAAAAGAAAGGTATTCTTGAGGGTACTAGGTGAAAAAGGTTTGGAAGTTCAAACTAAGACCCCCAAACTACCGGGGGACATCAAAAGGAATAGCTATAACTGGAATATATGGATGGAGTGGGGTGACCCCTGAGCCCTTTGCCTGTTTGGATCTCCATGCTCTCTGCACGCCCTCACACTAAGATTTTCAGTGATATTGGGAGCCAGAACTCCAGCATTCGTCTCCATGCCTGCAACTCAAACTGTGTCAGAGTTGAGTGTGTTGTTTTTTAAAAACTACTTAGGAGTATAATGTTTAAGGAAAAGAACTGTTTTCTCAATTTGATAAGTGGCTAGATACTCTGATACCACAGCTTAGAATTAAGTAGTGGAGCCCATTCAGTTACTTATGCACTGCCCATTTCCAGAGAAAAATATGCAAGTGAAACATTATAATGATGAGACAAGAACATGAACCAATGAATGGGGGGCAAGGGAGGAAATAACATTAGTAAGGTTTTTACCAGAATAGCCAAGCTATAATCGATTTGGTTCTGAGATTCTTAGAAAGCCTCTCAAATTGGGAAACTTTTGAGCTATAAATCACTCAATTTCCAATAAAGGGCTACCAGTTCCTGAGAAGAAGTGGAAATTCTTCTAGGATAAAGCTCTAAGCCTTTACTACATGAATCTTTATAAAGTATTAAAAATAAACATAACCCACAGAATTCAAGTGCAATTCTACAAAAACTAATAGAAATAGTTGTCACACTGCCTCCTCTTCAATGTCTCATACTATTAAGAAGTCCAGGGCATACCATTAAATAATAATTCCTTTATAGCATCTATTCAATAGGCTGCTGAAGTGTGGCCCAAGTACATAGCTTTTCATATCTGACTTGATAAAGTAATAGGCTTTAAAAAATCAAAGGAATTCTCCTTAGCTAGGCTTTCGACATTTCAAAGTTAAGTTTTCTATAGAGTATCTGAAGAGCTATTCCAAGCAAAATGAAAGGAACTCCTTTTTGCTTCTAATGCTAGATTTATACATGGAAACACTGATGATTTATTAGGAAATTTTGCCTGAGTTTATTGCCCAGATAGGGATCACAAAGACATGAGCAATGATTATACAACCAGGTAAAAGGAGCATAAAACATCCATCCGTTAGAGTCTTTAGTCAGAGACCTTTTCCAACTCAAGGTGATTATGCACCCATCAGCAAATAGGTGGATAAAAAAGTTGTGGTACAGTTATACCATGGAATACTATGCAGCAGTGAAAAAGAAGAATCTCTTACACTTTGAGACAGCATGAAGACCTGGACATTATCATGCTAAGTGGAATCTAAGTAACAAAGTAAACTGATGACGGAATGGATCCAGAGACATGGAAGCATGGAACAGAGTACAGAATGTCAAGAAGAAAGGTGGGGGAGGGTGGGTGAGCGGGAGGTAATCAACCAAAGACCATGTATGCATATATGCATAACCCATGGACACAGACAATAGGGTTGTGAAGGCCTAGGGTAAGGGGGTTGGGGGCAGGCTGGAGGGGTCAATGGGGAGAAAAAAGGGACATATGTAATACTTTCAACAATAAAGAATTATTAAATAAATAAATAAAAGGACAAATTTTAATTAGCCGTACCTCCGCTACCCTACAAAAAATAAATAAATAACAGGTGAGCTAAGAACAATGGACTATATTCTAAATAGGGAGAATACTGGGGTAGACAAAACACTAAGCAATGCCCACTAGACAATACAGAAAATACAGAAAAGAGAGCAAGAAAGGACTTCCCCAGTAATCTTTGGGAACTGAGTCTTTCTGCTATGGCCATGCTACGAACGATATGCTTCTCCAAATTTACCCAAAACTTCTGGCTGAAATCTATGGAGTACTACCTTTTCCTTGTAAAAGTAGCCTTCTTACAAAAGGAGTTCAATGGTATTAATTTACATTCAGTTCCATCGAGTTAGTTTGTTACATCGTACAACATTGTAGATAAAATCTGTTGATTTTAAACATGTTTATAGAACAGTGATGGCGAACCTTTTGAGCTCGGCGTGTCAGCATTTTGAAAAACCCTAACTTAACTCTGGTGCCATGTCATATATAGAAATTTTTTTATATTTGCAACCATAGTGAAACAAAGATTTATATTTTTGATATTTATTTTATATATTTAAATGCCATTTAACAAAGAAAAATCAACCAAAAAAATGAGTTCGCGTGTCACCTGACACGCGTGTCATAGGTTCGCCATCACTGTTATAGAAGATGATGTATTCTAAAGAGTTTGCTTTTTTATATTCAATTACTTAAAAGCTGACATCTATTAAGTTGTCGCCTTTTCTCTTATATTAAGTTTATAGAAGCAGATTTTATCAACTAAGACTTAAGTAAACAATTACCCCCAACAACAGAAGTACTGGTTAAAGTAGAGCTCTCTTCCTGCCTAGAAGGAGGAACAGGGAGAATAAAACCAAAGACTCAGATTTAAAATCGGGGAACTCAAGAAACAGCAAGCGGTTGGAATCTGACCATGGTGAAGGGAGCAGCAGGAGTGGCAGAGGGAAGGGGTTGTTAAGTCACACACACTCCACCTTCAGACATACTTGTGGGAACAAAGATATTCTGAAAATGACGCATGGGAGTTGAAACTAAGACCGTTTTTGTCTAATTTTGATTCAAAAGCAAACATAACTTAAAAATTTTACACTCGTGTGGAATTTAATTGGACTGAACTACCAAGCAAAATAGAGACAGATTCATAGATAGAGAGCAGGCAGACAGCTCTGGTGGGTGGTGGGGTATGGGGGAGGGGTACAGGATTGAGTGAAAAAGAAAAAAAAAGGAGAGAGAACTCATGGACATGGACAACAGTTTGGTGATTGTGGTGGGGGGGGGGGTGTCAGAGGGGATCGAGGTGGAAGAGGTAATTGGGGGATAAATGGTGATGGAAAAATAATTAATAAAAAACAATAAAAGTAATAAAAAGAAAATAAATTTTAAAAGTTTTACAGAACTAAATCAAAGGGGAAAAGTAATCTGATATATTTTGGAATCATATATTCAGCCTCCCCCAAAAATGTTTAAGTGAAACAGGGTGGCAGAATATAAAGAGACTGCTTGCAATTGTAACTCTCCCCATTGCACATTGAGGCTGCTTTTTAACTCTAAAGGAGGAAAGAGTAGGCTAGTGGGGAGCACACAGGAAATCCTGAACAAAAACAGAGGAGCTATTTGAAAGCAGTCTCCAGGAGAGGTAAATCAGCATGCACAGTACACACGCACTGTGAGTTTTGTCCCCATGGGATTTCGGCCATGATGCTATAGATCACTGTAAGAATATACATACAGTATTAGCAGCCGACAGCCATCATAAAGCCATAAATTCACCCTGACTCTTTATGCATGTGGAAATTTCAACCATTACCTCGCAGTCAACATTTTGCATTTCATTTACTTGCTTTTATTACCACCAGGAATAAAACTGATCAAACATGAAAAGATGTTCACATATGTGTAATAGTTCAGACAATTAATCACTTGGAAAAATTTATTGTATTTTTCATGATCGTGACATTTAATCTACCTTTATATTGCAAAAATTTCTCTAATACATATAACTTTTAAATTACTTTGAAAATGTCTCTAGTATATGTGCTATGCAATAAATCTTATTACTTACACTCCTAGGATCATTAAAATATTGAAAAATCACATAATATACATTTTGTTTCCTCCATTTCTGATAGTAACTTATCTGTTTTTTAAATAATGCACAGTTAACTTAAACACTACTGGGATTTTAACCAGTCTACAAAAGTGAACTGAAATAGGAAACTAAAACATATGCATTATGGGAAGACAATTACTGGGTACTTTTAATGATCAATGTAAAAACTGTTCCAAACAGGCACAAATATTCTTCACTGTGCGTAGATGACATGAAATTTGCCCTATACCTTAGAGAGTCTATATTAGCCTAAGTTTTGAAGAATAACAATTTTCCATCTGCAATGCCTAGAGGAGGAGACTGGCAAGCCAGATACTACAATGCTGTGACTACCGAGCACTGAGATTATGTCAATAATCAAAAGAGGGAAAACATGGAGGTTTCTAAACAAAACCCTTCTGGTCCAAGAAGAGAAAAAATACCCCCAATGGTGACAAAGGGGAGGAAATCTCTGCAAAAACAAACAACAACAACAAAAGGCCAATGTCTAGAGAAGGGCTGTGTTTATCAGTGGTGGCGATTACAGGCTCAGTAATGCAACTGGTTTTTGTGTGGGTTATTTGGGGTTTTTTTGTGGCTTTGCATTTTCACAATAATAATCTTACCCAGTAAAAAACAAGAACAATTGTAAAATGGAAGTTAATGGAAAAATTAGAATTTTTCCTTGTAGAATTTAACTCCTTGAATTTGGGTGCATTATGTCCATAAAAACAAGGATGTCACCATTTTTCATCATTATCTTCATCAACAGCATAGCAGATAATTTTGTTTCAGTACTTACTATAGGCCAGGGACTATAATAGGTACTGCATGTTTTATATGATTAACTCGTTTATCCTCAAATAGACTCATAAAGTGGTTATCAATCTAATAGATGAAGAAAACAAGGCATAGGTAAATAAATTAACTTACTCAAGGTCAGATGCTTAATAAACAGAAGAG